AAAATATTTTCTTCTTCACTTCTGTCATTATTTAAACGGATCTTTAAAATACATTAGAGGACTATCTTAAAGAAATCTGTTTAAATAATGATAGAAGTAAATTAACGAATACGAAACTATTTTTAAAGGCCGCCAATATTTTTAAAGGCCGTTAAATATAAAGGAATTGTTACAGAATAGACCCCAATGTCGGGTATAAGAAGTTATATAGGAAAAGTTAGAATTCAATATTATTTAAACAAAAAACAAAAACATGTTTAAATTAATATATTAAGTAAAATATGACCATTCCTTAACATAGATATATTTATATAAACAGAAAGGATGTTTCATCCCTAATAAAAATGTCTAAATTGTTTTTTCAATGGTTTAATTCACGATCAAGTATTCTCAATTACAATGTTGCTATGGTATTGTCACTGTTTATTCGCGTACTGCTTACTGCGCTAGTCTGCCTTCTCCCGCTCGTCCATCCTGACACGCATATCTATAGACTATGGATTTCAAGAATGTGTAGTGGGGAGCAGAGACACACCGCTAACACGGCCATCCTGCAATTGGTACGTCCACGCGCCACATATATCTGGAATTACAAAATACGAAAACAGAACTACTGTTATGACTTATGAACATTATCACTAATGTTCTTTTTAGACGCTAAATTAATTACTCTTTTAATTAATGTTGGTGGGATTGCCACGATTACAGTAAATATAGTGGGATCGCCACTAGTCATTCTTTCAATCAACGTTGGGGGGATTGCCACCATTACCATAAACATTAGTGGGATTGTTACTTAATACTCTTTCAATCAACGTTGGGGGGATTGCCACCATTACCATAAACATTAGTGGGATTGTTACTTAATACTCTTTCAATCAACGTTGGGGGGATTGCCACCATTACCATAAACATTAGTGGGATTGTTACTTAATACTCTTTCAATCAATGTTGGTGGAATTGCCACCATTACAATACAAATTAGTGGGATTTTCACCATTACAATACACATTAGTGGGATTGCGACTAATTACTCTTTCAATTAATATTGGTGGGATTGCCACCATTACAGTAAACATAGTGGGATTGTGACTAACTACCTTTTCAAGTAACCTTGGTGGGATTGCCACTAACTACCTTTTCAATTAACCTTGGTGGGATTACTACCATTACAGTAAACATAGTGGGATTGCCATTAACTACCTTTTCAATTAATCTTGGTGGGATTGCCACCATTACAGTAAACATTAGTGGGATGGCCACTAATTACTTTTTTTATTTATTGTTGATGGAATTGGCACCCTAACACTAAAATGATTTATTCAGGAACATTTGGTGGGATTGCCACCCTAAATTAACAAAAACAATTATTTTAATTTAATATTGTGGGATTGCCACTCACCGTTTTTATAATTACTTCGATGACCATAGCAACTGATTGTGAACGGCTACTGCCGTTCGCTGTCCCTTTTTGTAAAGTTGATATCTTTCATGTGGTAATACCTCTCAAACAGTATAGGCCCTTTTTATTTGGGCCTCAGTTTTCCTCCACCTGCGAACTGTGAATCTTCAATAGCCTCGATATCGTCTGGCTTAAATAATGTGGCCCAACGCCTAGTTTCATTTTTCATTGGATCGTTGACCTTGACTTAACAGACATTAATTATTTTCACGTGTTATGCTACTACGACGGCCTCTTTCATTTTCGTCCAATACAAAATAATAAATAGTTTCTGAGTATACTTGTTCCTTTCTATATATGAAGACTTATCATATAAAGTCATAATAAACAATCGCGCGCTGCGACGAGCACAAAATATTTTCGAGAGTTTTGTTTATGGTTCTGTCCTTTTTAACAATTAGGTAGGTCAATGTCAAAGACTGTCTTATTAATTATCTGATGACAAATAGTATCACTTTGCTGTAAATCTCGGAGCGTATACTTATCGGTAATTTTGTTTGTTTATTGCTTTTAACGGGCACACTTTTAACTCGCTTACATAATCCACTTGCTTTAATAGCCTATATGTTACATTTTATGTCCAGGGTGGTACTCAATAGAACAGTTTTAATCCTATAACTTAATACACCAACGTGTGACGCGCGTTTATAATTCTTTTTTTTTACAGCTCTTGCTCGAACTGATTAACTGTCTGTATATACTACGAAATGCACACTGTACAGATACCACACGAAAGTGTTCAACTGCTTTCACTATAGCAAAAGTCTCTAGATTGTAAAAATGTTACCTTGATTCACAATCAGTCGTACTGCGACTATAGTATGTAATATGTCGAGTAACAAAAGAAGTTACGTGTTTGTAACTTTCTGCAATTTCCATTTGATAAAGGCTTGAATTGATGTCCAATGTAGTAAAATATTTTAATAGCATTAATTTGTTCTTAAATACTTTTTTTGCTTACTAGCACAATAGGACTTATATTTTATAATATAATAGTAATAGTTTCCCCAATTCACCCCCTTACGAGGGAATTTCAACCTCTGAAGCCAACTGAGCTTGTGTGAGGAAGGAACAGCTATCACTTTATTTGTAGTGGCGCTCCGGGGCTACTTAAAGATGATTGATGGTGCCATTTGACTTACAGGTGAGGAAAACCTTACCCACCATCATTTTGAGTGACTTCTGCGGATAATTCCAATGTGTATAATTTTCTTTCGCCAAATTCTGCCTTGATACGCTAATCGCCTTCGTTGATACGCTACTTGAGTACTGAATTTTAATCTAAATTTACATTTTTCTGGTAGTTATGAGGTCAGGAGTTTTATTCTTGTAAATGTTAAAAGTTTCTTCACTTGTATTTTTAAAGTGTCTTTTTATTCTAATTGATTAATTTTCATATCCTTCAATGTTTTATTGTAAACATTTTCGAAATGTTGAGCAGGTCATAATGTAACTCAATCCCGTTGGCAATTTTCTGAAAACCTAAACAAGGTCGGCATCTGACATTGCAACCCATAATAATATTAACATCTTCAGGAATCACATTATGTGGAATGACCGTAAAAGTCGGGCAAAATCACAAAGATTGATATTCTAAACACGTGCTCTTAACGTTCCTTTTAATGTTTTTACTGGGGCTTGTTTAATTATCGACATATCAACATCGCTTTCAATAAGGTATTTTAACATCAGTGTCGAATTCAGATGGTGTCACTTTTTTAACACAAATGTTTTCTTAGGCTTTCTTTGTTTATACCAATAATTATTTGATTCGACGTGAGTTACTTTTTTTACATTGAGTGCTATAATACTGTCGAATTGTTATGAGTAATACCCGCGTTAAATGTACTCGCCTGTTATATTCTCCGACGTGGATTTTGTTGGTGTCTCTGGTGGCCTCATTTAAAGGAACGAACATTTAAGTTTTTGTTTGGCTCGAAACGTTCCGCTTCTCGTCTATCTTTAAACTGACTTCTTGGTTTTCTAAGGATTTCTGCATTTTTCGTCATTCTCGAGGTCTCAGTATTGATCGCATCAAATTCGCTGAGTAATTTTATGAGTTCACGTCCGGAATTAGGATTTTGTATGTGAATGACAAAACGGACTTTTGAATTGTCTGAACTCAGAACTGGATTTCACGGCAACCAGTAACACAGTGAGTTACAATCACGGCTTTGAAGTGTAGCCGCCTTGTATTCACGAGCAGCTGGTGTTTCCTTGTCAGCGAATGCAACAATTAGGTCATCTCAAGTTTTGTCTCGTTCGAGAAAGAAGTCGCCAATCACAACAATAACCGAGATTCTTGGGTGCATCGCTCAATTTAGCGATCAAAAAGTTATCTCTATCGTCTTTTTTTTTGGTAGCGTTACTGAACCATTCTTTTATGGAATATGTGCTGTCGTCACGTCATGGTCATAGCTGGTTATTTCGAAAGGAGTGCACAGACGCAAATGTCGGCGCATGCGAGTTAGATTCATCTGCTCTTGCAACACTGGGCGTTGGCTTAGCGAACGGCTACGTAACCATCTTGGAATGTCGGGTTAAATCAGCAATTTGTTCCTGTTGGGCCGATACAAAGTTTATTTTCGTTTCCTGTCACTTAAATTTAGCACGCTTTGAACTATGTAGGTTCACATTGTCTTCAACATCGACCGTCATTGTGTTTTTGTCCGCCATTATCACTAGCACTAACTTGTAGTTAAATTACTAATTATAGTCTATTAGCCACGGTACGTGTAGTGATCCCACTTCTGATATAAACAGAAGGGATGTTTAATCCCTAATAAAAATATCTAAACTCCTTTTTCAATGGTTTAATTCACGATTAAGTTTTCTCAATTACAATGTTGCTGTGATATTGCCACAATTGAGAATTGTTTAGTATTTTGTTACAAAATTATTATATTACTGGAATTTGCAATAAAGGTAACTGTCCTATTATAAATTAATTAATTATTAAATATGAATATATAAAGATAAAGAATTTGGAAAAATTTATTAATTGGAATTTGTGACAATATTTATTTTGCTTATAAAAAAGATGGTATTGAGCAGAAAAATGAAAAGTACACATAAACTGCCAGACTATTTAAAACAAATATTTTTAATTGATCTTTATATCAATTTATATTTAATTATTGAAATAACTTACACAGCTATGAATAGAATTTATTAATCATTCGTATAGGTTATGATACATGGCATTTGTATTTGTAATTATTGTAATAATTAAAAAAAAAAATTTTTAGAACATGGCAGTCTTAAAGAAACGACATTTTATCATAAAAAGTTGGTAAATACGTTTATATTACATAATATATTTTTAAATTTAATTTATTTCATCTTACCTTGGTTTACCCTCGTAAACCCTTGTTCTTTTATGCTGTAATCTTATTGAACTAATATTCTAATGCATTTTTTGATCAACTGTTCACATTATTTGATGCAATTCTACTCTTATTTGTATTATTATTTGTTATGAATATGTATCTTGAAGAAAAATACATTTTTTTGAATATAATTAACTTTTTTCATCTAGGGTTATCAGAAGTTGACCGATTGCTCATGGATGAAGGCGCAGTAAAAATGCTCTACGATCTCAAAGGCGACGCTAATTCTTCAAAAAGAAAGAAGGACGTGTATTCTGTAGATAAAGCAGAAAGAGATATAGTGAAAAAGGCAAATTTATTGAAAAACGACCTTGTTCTGAACACAAGTAATGAATCACCTAAATCTTTGAGGAAGAAAGAAGGACCTGTTCTGATATCACCTATATCTAAACCAACCCCTATTTTGGAACGCAAAATGTCTAAGGATTCCACACGAAGCTCGGTACATACTCCTCCTAGATCTCCCAACATGTTTTCGTCTCAAAGTTCGATGCTGATCAGGAGAAGGTCAAGTAGTTCCATCTCGAGTGACGATATGGAACAACAGTTTCCAACAAAGGTATAAATTTACTTTAATAAAATATTAGAAATATAGATGAGGCTTAAAATGATGAATGTAAATACAGTTAAATTGCGGTGTTTATATTTGCTCCTAAACAAGTGCAAAGTTTAGGGGTTTCTACTCACAATTTAGATTTAAATTTAACATTATTTTGTAGCTAAAAAAATTTGCTCATGTAATTTGAGTGTTCTTGTGAAAAATTTTGTGTTTTAAACTAAGTTCTCTGCATTTGAAAGGAAGAACGTAGAGTGAAGAAAAAAAATTAAAAAAAATTTGCTGATAAGTAACAATTCAAATAATCCAGTGCTGTATCGACTTTTAGTATGTTATTTTCTTCAACTATGGCCTAAAATTTGAATGGAGTGTAATTTGTGTAAGCAAATTAAGCAACATAGCAAGGAATATGATTTAGTTGATATTCTAAATAACCATATCAAAGATAAGGACCAAATAATAAAGGACAAAGAAGATAACGAACTATTGAAGGCTAAAATTAATGATTACGAATAATCCTCTATTCAACAACCCACTTCTTATGCCCAAGTAACAAAGGGTTCTGTGCAAACACATCAAATAAACTATCCACAAATTATAATTAAACCAAGAGTACCTCAAAATTACCAAAAAACCAAGGATGATGTTGAAAAAATATTAAACCTGAAGCATTGAAAGTTGGAGGTAAGAGTATGAAAACTCTTAATTCAGGTGCATTAATTATTAAATGTTGTAATAAACAAGGAATTAATGTCTTAGAAGAAAGTGTCAGAAATAAGCTAGCTAATTTTAACCAGGATAAGAGCAAGGAGGACATCAAGAAATGCATTGTGACGAAAGTCTAATTTATTTAAAGTTTATTTATTTAAAAACACTCTATTTACAATTTATTTCAGACGTACTATTTAATTTATATAATATTTGAACAATTCTAATTTATTTCTTACACTTTTACTTTTCAATACAACGTTCTATATTCAACTAAACTCGGCGCTGATCGTTGACTATTTATATAAATCCAACTCCGCTACTGGAAAATGCCAGAGACTTCGCGAAGATGACTAAACGGCACTCCGCCCGCTCTACCCGTTTCTCGAGCCTTCAGCGGCATTCCCAGAACATTCCGGATGCTTCGAGTGAGTCAGAGAGCGGTCCGGCTGTTTCCACACGTCAGCGTTGCTTCGGCCGCGAGTTGGTTGTCATGTGAAGGCCGCGTGCGTACACAGGCATAGGAATATCATAACAGCATTATAAATCAAAATAACCTAGATAAGGAAATATAAGTTGTATTTATAAAAAAACCGCGCACTGGAAACAAAATGATTATTTGTGAATGTAGTCCAAAAGTTTTTAAACAAATAATGCAAGAAGGTAAAGTTAATATTGGTTGGGAAAGATAGTGTAATACTCTGAAATATTTCAAACAGGTTCTTAAAAATAAAACAACCTATTGTGAAAATTAATTTCTTATCTTTGCTTTCTCTTTGTTTTAATTTAATCTCGACATAATAATAGTTTTTACTAATTTACCACAATTTAAATAATCTTTCTCTCTTTTATGGGTATAGCAGAACTAAATATTTTTAATGAGATTGAAAATGAAGAAAATGAGATTGAATTAAATAAAAAGTCTCGTTATGACAATAATCATTTAACAACAATAAAAAAATTTGACAACTTTTTAGTATTTTTAGAAACTTTTGGTTTAAAGGAAACGTAATGTTATTGAACTTGATAATTTAATTATACCTGGTTTTATCAATATATTTAATGAAAGTGTGAATAATCAATGTGATGGTGTAGTTATATATATTAAAAACAACATTCAGTTTGAAATAGAATATACAAAGTTGCCTCTATCAAATGTAATGATAAGCTCAATAACATTTAGTCATAATGGTGTGCCCTATACAGTAATGCCTTGTTATAAGTCTCCATCCTTATCAGATGATATATTTCTTACAGAATTTGAACATTTCCTAAATAATATACCAAGAAGGCTAGGAATGGATATATTTATTGGTGACATTCATATTAATATCCTTGATCCCTCGAACCAAATAACAAATAGATATTTGGCAATGTTATTTTCCTTGGGATTTGTATCATATATTAATTCATACACCAGGGTTACTGTAGAAACAAAATCATGTATTGATCATATTTTTATAAAAAATAATATGCCAAATAAAAATTTTTCATTTAAATCGTTGGTAATTGACACTGATCCAACTGATCATTTTCCTTTTTTTAATTATTACAACAAACGAAAGAAACTTTAACCATAATACATTAAACCGACATACAACACAATACACGATATAGATAGATTTACAAAATTATTAGAAAATGTAAACTGTGACAACGTCATTTCTCTTAGCAATCCAATTTTGGCCTACCAGAAATTTATTGAAATAATATATTCCCTAAAAGAACAATAACTAATAGGCATATTACTTATAAAAAAATAAAACCATGGATAAGTCAAGGCATGATCATGTCTATTAAACATAGGGATAAAATAAAAAAACAACAATCTTCTAATAGAATATAGGATATATCGTAACCAACTAAATAAAATAATAAATAAAGCTAAAAATGATTATTATACAATTCAAATTCACAATACTAACAATGATATTAAAAAAATATTCAAAATAGTTAAAGAAGCTTCAAATGAACACCGAAACAATAAAACAAACAATGATTTTAATATTCTAAACAATAATAAACAATTTACAAATGACAAAGAAATGGCCAACTACTGCAATAACTATTTTTCAAAAATTGGTATAGATATGACAACTAAAATCAATTCTGTAGATGACTTCCTAATAAGATATCCACCTTTAATCAACTCAATACATAATAGATCCTCTAATGCTCATTATAAACCTAATCTTTACAACAGGTAAGATACCGGAAGAACTTAAAATATCAATTGTAAATCCAGTTTTTAAAAACGGATCCAAAAAAGATGTGTCAAATTACAGACCAATAAGTCTGATTACAAATTTTGCAAAATTTTTTGAAAAATGTTTAAAAAAAAGATTATACGAATATCTAATTGATAAAAAGATTTTAATTGTTAAACAGTTCGGGTTCCAAAAAGGTGTTAGCACTTGTGATGCCATGTATGAATTGATATCTAATATAAAAAACAGTCTTGAGAATGAAAATAAAAATATAAGTGTTTTTATCGACCTCGCGAAAGCTTTTGACACTGTTCCTCACAAGCAACTACTAAATGTTCTTGAACATTATGGCATTCGAGGAATGGTTTTAAACATTTTTGAAAACTACACGAGAGAACACAGATAGTTAAAATTAGAAATGAATTTAGTAATCCAAATAGGTGTGCCACAAAGAACTGTCCTTGGCCCAATTCTTTTTATCATCTTTATCAACTCTCTTTTAAACTTAGATATAAATGGTATAGCAATATCCTATGCAGAAGACACCGTATTAATGTTTAAAGGTAAAACCTGGGATGCTGTAAAATCCAAAGTTGTTAAAGGGGTAAGAATTATGAAAGACTGGTTGGATTATAATAAACTATCTTTAAATATATCGAAAACAGTAGATATGGCATTCTCACTCACAGATGCTAACAGGCCTAACTTCAAACAGATTTGTATTGAAGAATCCAAATTCATCATCAAAGAAGTGGAAAATGCCAAATATTTGGGAATAATAGTTGACAAAAATCTTAAATGAACCGATCATGTTCAGTACTTAACAAACAAAACAAGAAAACTTGTATATAATATTTATTTAATTCGTAACATTCTAAATAAAAAGTTATTACACTTGATATATATTGCTCTCATTGAATCCTTAATTAAATATGGCATAATTGTATGGGGTGGTTTATATGACAATGCCCTACATCCTTTAAGTATCATTCAAAAATATATTTTAAAGATAATAAATCATAAAAGTCGTTTGTTTTCAACAACCCTCTTATACAACGAATCCACTCCAAACGTAAGATCACTCTAGCTGTATGTTCTATTTCAAACTGAAAAATAAAAATTTTATAAACCACTCTTAAATGACCCGAAAACAAAAGAGAAGAAAATGTATCATTCTTTTAATATGATGAAAATAAAAGATTCATTTCTTCAATTGGGCCAAAAGTATACAACTCTTTAAGTGAAAATATCAGACAAATATAAAACATAAAAACCTTTTCTAAAGCGATCAGAAAATTTATATTTGATAAATATTTATACCTCTCAAATTTGTTATAAATACCTAGTCTTATATATTTATGTCCTTTTAATCATCAAATGAAAAAGAAGTTGTACTTCGAAACATATGTCATGTTAGTGTTAAAAAAAAAAAAACTACCAAATTTGGTTTTACTCTTTCAAAATTAAATGGATAATCATCAAATGTTTAGTTTATAGGTATTGTTAATTTTATGTAGTTTTAATCTATTTATATTGCACATACAGATGTGTTTGCATCTAGGTGCATATTTTAAGAATAATTTCTCATTGTAAATTTATTTGATTTTGTATTATAAAATGTTTATTATTCTTCTTAAAAATATTTAAAAAATCTGCCTTTAAAGTAATATAATTTTTCTTGTTTTGCAGCTTGGTTTGCTTTAAATGAAAAATATCTTCAAATTTTCTTTTCTGTAAATTTTGGGTGTTTTTAAAATATTTTCCTTTTTTTATTAAAAATTCTTATGCCTTTATTTTCTATTGTCAGTGCTTTTACGTCGACTTCTTTGGAATCACTTCTTCTTCTAGTAACTTTAATTATAGGGTACTTAAATTAAAATCATTTTCATCTGCTCTCAAATTTCTTGCAAAATATTTATATTCTCCTCTCACTGTGACATCTATATTCACGGTTGTGACTTCACTGGAGAGCCATTTAAAGTTCGCATATTTCGCTTAATACATTCTGTTTCTCATGATCCATCCAGAATTACTGAGGCCCTTCCTATGGGGCCTCAGTATTGCATTCGTGCAGACGAAAAAATTTTCTTACCCCCATTTTTTAAAACTTTTTTTCATGTTTCCGATCATTCTGTCCGAAAATGCAAAAAAAATGTCGTCTGGTCGTCTGTGTGTATGTATGCCGGCACGATAACTCTAGAATTAAAGTTCTGATTGACTTGCGGTTTTGATTTTCTTGAATAATTACTTCTAACTTAGAACCCTATTGATTTTCAGAATTTTCGGTTCAACCTAACTACTTTAATATCAATTTTCTTAAAATTCGCTTATGCATTTCTTGTGTGACAATTTTAGGAATTCCAATTATTTCTAACGTAAACATTTCTAACATTCTTATTATTCCATACATTGCAAACATTCTCTAACGACCTGTCAAACAACAGCTGTTGATAGTAAAGGTGAAATTTCTAAGGCGGGTTGCGACCTTCATACTTGCAACCATATCCATTTTGGAGGCTATTTTTATTCGAAATTAGTCACCAAGCCTGCCAATTTATGAAAAATATATAAGCAGTTTCTTAAAAATGACTTTTTTATGGTGGTGCTAACTTAAGCTTACTACTATTTCGCCCCTGGCCACAAAAACACTTTCATCAAATTTACTGGCTCTCTGTCGCAACCCCATAGAATAATTAACTGGCCATTTTATTTGGCAAAAATCAGAATAATGCTTGCCTGTGCCTGTCAAGTATCAAGATGTCAACTGTGATGTGTGAATGGCTCTTAAATGTCAAATTATTTAAAAATGTATACTTCTTTTGATATTTATTGCAAATAATTTGTAGTGTATCTCAATTCAGGCTTTTCATAAAGGTACAGCAAGATAGATAATATGTTCTTATACAAAGGTAGGATATAATGCTGTTTTTTTTGTAGAAAATTTTTATTATATGATTTTGGATTACATATTCAACCTGCGAATTGTAAATGATAATTAGTAAACTTCTGGTCATAAATTTCCTCAATAAATAAAATTTAAAAATGAATCTTCTTACTTTGGTACCGAGGTATTTTGTTGTGTTTTTTATTTTAATTATAAAGTTGTCATTTATTTGTATGTTGAAAGAAGGCCTTTGTAAATTACATTGCTCCTTATGCACTTTGTGGCTATAAGTTGCTATAACCTATCGTCGCAAAACTATTAATAATTTAAACATAGTAAGTAGTATTAATATAACATTAAGTAATTTTTTAAAATGATCTCAAAACAGAAATAATTTATAATAAATGCGGGTAAAACAAGGGCTAAAATAACAATAAATTAAGGAAAATACTTAAAAAGGGCAGGTTTAAAGAGTATTATCACAAGAAAGTATATCCGTTCTGTTTATTTATCAAGTATTGTTTGAGGTTACTTTTGAATACATTTATTGTTTTTTTTTTTAATTTAGTAGACTGCCTACTAAATTTTTTAAACCTTTAATAAAAATTGTATTTTGGGAACTTTTAGTGATGGCTTGCCATATATGAAAGTCAGATAGACTTCTTGTATTTTAGTTGTGATATTTCGAATTATATTGAATTTTTTCTAATATATCTGATGTGATGGTACTATGTCATTTTTATTTTATAAATAAATATCAGTCATGTACTGAACATAATTCTAAACTGAAAGCCAATTTATTTCTTTTAACATAGTTGCATTACTCATCCTTCTGTCCTTTATTAATATTATATAAATATACGAGGTGAGGAGCCCAAATATTTTACATGAGCTGGCTTAAGAGGTAAAAGGGCCAATTATTATTGGATAAATTGCTCAAACAAGTTTGTAAACCCTAATCAAAAGGCGATATAGAATGGTTTTAAAAATCAAGGCTTGTGAAATTCATCACATGGTTTAACCTAAGTAATGCCAATGCTTCACAAACCACCATTTTAGCGTCTCTCGAATTTAAAATGTTTAATACGCCACAAAAATGGCTGATTGAGATAAAACATACATAGATCGACGCAGTAAAATCAGCTGATTCCGATGAAATAAATTGCTCAATTTTGGCCAAAGTGGCGTATTAGTCAATTGTCTTTTCAACCGTCGATATATATTTTATATTATACCAGATGCTTTAAAATTATTGACGATAACAACATAATATAAAAATAAATAAATATTTCTAAGATATGGGGTGTCCGGTACACTGCAACCAAAAATCTACTGTTAAGGCGAAAAGAAAATATTCATGACGTCAATAACAATCCTTCCAATCCTATCCTCTCAAGAAAATGTAGGATTTATGGCCGGTTTATGAAACAGTAGATATCTGACTGATAGACTTAACTAAAATAAGTATCTAACATCGACAAGATTTTAGTTGATCTTAATTTTATACTCAATATACATTATTTTTTATTTATCTATATAATCTTGATTACAGGTGACTAAAACTAAGACTAAAAAACAGAAAAAATCCGCTTCAAATACAGAAGATAATAAACTTTCCAAAGAAGTTGTTTCGCCGACAAAAGATGTAGCGGCTAAACTCGTTAAGGGAGTTCAATACAAATCTTTCACAATGAAGAGATCAGGCAAACATGTTGCCATAGATTTGAATTATATTGATGATGAATGTTATTTTACAATTCAGGTTTGTATAAGTGATTTTACGAAAATAAGATAATAATTTATTCACATATCTTTCTTTAAAACATGTTTTTATTGTTAGGTCTTAGAAGAGTTGCTTTCTGCACTAAAAAAATTGGGAAAAGATAAAGAATGTAATGTTGTGTCCCTAACTTCAACAAGTGCATCTTTTTGTTTAGGACTCGATTACACTTATTTGGTATCTGATAAAAATGATGAGAGGATTGATAAATCTACACAATTAGCTGAAGCATTAAGGTAAGATTCAACAATCCATTTGTAATATTTCAATAATGCATAATGTGCTACAAATAGTCCAAATAGGTAAAACTGCATAAATAAAAGATAAAAACACGGAATTTTACTTATAAAGGAAACTAAAATTTAAAGGTTATTAAAACAAACCTGGCAAAGTTGGTTAACGGCGATCGGATCACATGAATGTGAAATATTTACATTTTATTTTCTCATTGTTACTGTATAAATTGAGTTCATGCAAACCAGATCTTTGGTGATAAAAGTTTTTGAAATATTTGAGGAATGTATACTTCTATAGATTCGGGATGGAAACATATACCTTATAAATCAAAACCTAAAGAGTAGATATATATCGAGAAATAATGTGCTAGGACAGCCATTGAAAAACTTTCCTTGAAACAACTCCACTACAGGCAACTGTGGGTGAGTTGTCACATTGATTTTGCTAAAAGAGAATACAGCAACATAATTTATTTATATAAACGGGGAAATTCCCTTTTCAGTTAGCTACAATATTTGGTACAATATTATACAATTATATAATTATGATTAATAAAATACAATAATAAAACTAATAGTTAAAATACTTAAGTATATTTTTTTTAAAAATGCACCTTTCCATAAATGGACTGACAGGGCCAAAGAAATCGACATCAGCGTGGTGGGTATTTGCCAACTAGCAGAACGAACAATGAAGGTATTACTTTGTACAAGTGTAGTTATTATTCTTATCAGAATCATACTACAACTATTAATGAATGAATATCTAGTAGGATAATGGTGGGTGTCTAAGTTACGGGGAAATTGTGAAATATTTTGTTTCATGTACATAAGAGTTTTAAATATCAAAATTGAAATAAAAGTAAGTAATTTATATTTTTTAAACTGATCTCTACAAGTAGTTCTGGCATCTAAATTAAAAATAATCCTGATTACCTTTTTTGGGAAATAAGAACACGTGAAACCTCAACAGCTCCTTTCCATAGTAGTACATTAAATGACAGTTAAGAATATACCAATACATAGTATACATTGAGAATCTGACATGTAACCAAAATACTCTTTAATTGCAGGATGGCACAATAAGCACTATTTATTTTTTTACATATAAAATCAATATGTGATTCCCAGCTCATATTGCTGTCAAAGAAATTTAGTCTGATTTGACAAAGGAATAAAATCATCATTTACTTGTATGAGCAAGTCCGTAGTAATTCTGGTTCTAGAGAAAAATTGCATGCATACAATTTATTTTATTTGCACTCACAATTAAAGAATTCCTTTTACACCAGTTTGTGAATTAATTGGCAGTGGTGTTGAGGTTTCTCTGCAGTTGTTCTGGCGAGTCAGCATCAGTTGCTGCTGTGTTATCATCATCATAAATTGCAATATGTCTAGTAGAAAGATATTGCGGCATATCATTTATGTATTAGGCATTCCAAACAAAATGGCTACCAGTGGTTCAGGTTATCATATGGTAAAATTATGGCAACTCTATAGGCCTAGTGATTTGACAAGGTCAATGAAATAGATAGTTACATAGATTGATTATCAATATTTTTCAAAATAAACAAAAGCTCTTGAATTAAAAATGTAGGTAATTATTTTTTTTTACTATATTCAAAGGCTAACGCCCGTATGCACCGTACACGTTTAATCCAGATTAAGGGTTTAATCACGTTTAGTACAATTTTTAGCTATGCACAGTAATAAAAATCATTTTTAATCCGATTTTATTCTAATCCGTCAATATCGGAGGATTAATGATTTAATCGAGATTTCCTAACGTCAAAAAGATGTCAAAGTTTGTCAGTATATTTGGAAATTTCTATTTGTGTGTCTTTTATTTATTTAATTTTAATTTTATTAAAAAATAAAAAACGGAAACAATACCAGCTTTTCTTGGAAGATGATAAAGATATTCTAGACAAAGTTATGAGTCAAGTGAATATTTTTATATGATGGGCAACTTGTCATTTTTAAGAGGGTTTTTTATCTTCCAACGTTACAGCATAATTTTGTAGTTACTTGGCAAATTCAGATATTATATTGAAAAAGGTAAAAATAAGCAAGCAATACATATATTTTGTGATTTTGCCTGCTTCAGAATACTGAAAAAATATGTCATCTAGTTTTGAATATGCATGCATGCTAATGTATAGAAAAGCATGAAATACAGCAGTTTATATGTATATGTTAAAATTACCAATAATAGACATATATGTTTTGCCATCTAACTATAGAATTTTTTTTTTAAATTCATTCTTTTTCACTCTGCGTAAAATTCTGTATGCGTTTTACAATAGGTTTGTTTTGGTTCCAATTTAAGAACCGTTCTGACATGAGCAGTGATTTAAAAGTGTTTTGGTTAATTTTCGAATCAGTTAAGAATCGGAGGTGACGCATAATTCTTTGTTTTGGTTCACTCATGGAATTATTTTAGAACTATTCTTAAACGGTTCAAACAGTTCTTACTTGTAAGTAGGAATTATTTTAGAATTTTTAGTTCGAGCATGCGTATAGTGAAGAAAGCTATGAAACGACTAATGACAACTAATTATTGATTTATTTCATTTCGTTTATATATTTTGAGCTCTTGATGTCGAGGTTTGAAATTGAGATTTTTTTTTATTGGTATCTTTTTACGTTTATATGTCTATTAGAACTTATTAACTTAAAACAAAAACAAGTTTATATTTACAATAGAAACGTATCTATTCATATTACCAATATCCGTGATGGGATGACTAATTTGAAATAAATAATTTTTATATATCGCACCCGTTACAGAAAAGTGTCATAACACAAAATTTTTCAAAAGTGTGTTTTTAGGGTATTATTACTGTTCTCATTGAGATCTACCAATCAGTAAAACTGACATATTTCTAACTGGCATAGTTTCCGCGCTACGCACTGATGTGACTTGGATTTTGCCGTTTCTGCGACCATCTTGCGCGGGAAGAGTGTCTTAAGTTAGTATGTGACTGACCGTCGAGCAGTGAACACGCGCTAGCATGCCGCGAAACTGTCCCAATACAAAATATGACACTCTTCCTGATCGAGGTAAGTAATATAAACAGTCATAACCTAATGTTGTGACACATCTTTCATGACAGCGAAATTTCAATACGCAAGAGTGGCCTATTATGTGATATAACAATGTTTTTGAATATATAATCGCTATATGATGAAATCTCTTATTATCAAAGAGTCGTATTTTATTTTGTGACTGTTTTAATCATTGACTTTTTACAAATAACGGATAATATTAAAGTAACATTTTACTCCGTTAATTGCACTGGCCAAAATAAAAATAAATAGACAAGTGCAATGTTTTTATACGCAGTGCAGAAACTGCCTAACATAAAAACAATCAATCACAAATTCTTAATATGCGGGCTACACACAAAATGAAGAGGGTTCGGAACATTCCCTTATCCAAAAAGACGTTAAAAAGTATACTAAAAAAGTCCGATCTACACCCCTGCCACGTATACCGACATAATCAAGAATGCAAAGCCTAATAAGCCTTTTTTTTGAGTTATTGAAGTGACCCAGACTGATTTTATCGACATTAAGAAATTACAGACTCAACTGGGATCAAACTTTGATACAACGACAACTGACGAAAAGCTCAAACTTCACAATACAAAATTTGTAACTACGAAAAGGATATCCCATTATGCTTTTACGTGCAAATCACCTACGATTGTGAAATCTCACATAAAGTCGACGTTGCATCTACCAAGAAGACAAGAGCAAGTAAGGACAGCCAAGAAAAGAAGAAAATTAAAAACATTCTCGAGAATGTTCAACTCACTCCCGCATATGAACGAAAAATAGAGATACCTGCAAACAAGAAAAGCAACATAATGGACCTTATAAACGCAAACCAGATTCCAAAAAGCCACGCACTTTACTACAGAAGTCTATTTGCTGAGGGAAGTAGTTCAAATTGTCCTATGAACTTTTTGTTTGGCCCTTTCAGTTATTTTTTGGAACTCAAATACTTTGTTTTGTTGTGCCATTTTCAGTTACTGTATTTTGAGTTGTTTTGTTTTGCCATGTTCAGTTACTTTTGGTATTCAAACATTTTGTGTTGCCTTGTACTATTTTCAGTTATTTTTGTTATTAAAATATTGTTTTTGCTTTGGTCACATTGTGTTCTTTGTATTATTGCCCTCTTACAGTATTTACAAATTAAAGATCATCAACTTGTTTTTAATGACTCTAAACCATTTTTTTTTTGTTAGTAATCCCACCAAAATTTATGGAAGACGTTATGATATAATATGAGTTTCATGAACCGTATCCATTATTATAGACTTCTTATATCATTTTTTTATTTGTATAAGCAGATTAAATTGTATCATTAAGTTTTTAGATCAAATAACTGTTAATCAGGAAAAGTGTCACAAGAACTAATAAATGGCAACGTAACCCAGTGTAAAATAAAAAGTATGATGAGGAGAACAACCATTCCTAATATTATTTGTTTTGACTTTGTTGCACATCATTCTGACATAGTAGCAGATCGCCGTAGCTTGAGTAAGAAAAAGTGCGCGCGTCAGTGCAAGACTGAAATTGAATCACTATACTCTTGTTTTTAAACTAAGAGGAGCGATTTGAATTTAAGTTGGCAATTCTGTAGCCTTCTGATTGGTCAGATTACAGTCAGTTTCACACATTACTTTTTAGCATGAACATCAGCTAATAATTGATATTGTTGACAGTTCTGACATTTTATAATTTGATATCTCATCAATTACTTTATTTCGTAAATAATAGTTCTTCAGTAAGCAATTGTATTGAAAATCTACAATTATGGATCCTTCTACACTGAGTACTATTAAAGGTAACAATTCCTGAAAAGCCTTACAAGAAAGGGAAGACACCTTATTATTTTACATGCTGATTCTGAAGGTTTTGTAGAAATTGCATTATTGGTTTTTGAAGGTAAAAAGATGGGAGATTACCATGAAGAGATGAATTCCGAAGTATTTTAGAAAAAAAATTTATTACTGATTTTTTAAAACTAAAAATTGATGAATTTCTAACCAAAATGATTAAAATGTAACTAAATATGCAAGCAAATTGTATTTATTAGAATAGAATAAAACTATTTACAAAATTGTTATAACATTTAAAACACCATCTACTAGTTTAGGGATAATCTTAATTTGGCACAATGAGTTAACATTACTTTCACAAAAAATATTTTAAAAATACTTAAAATTAATACATAGGTATGTATGAATAGTTCACTTTAAAAAATATATGTTGACATCTAGTGTTATGAAAATGTTGGTTCCAGTTTTCAAAACAAATTCTGACTCATAGGCCTGTAAACTTTTGAATGCCTTTATTTGCCCTCTAGCGCATTAACCATGGGTTAACACTAAATAAGCCATAATATCCACATTACTCATAGAAGAGATACCAGTTACTGTGTAATCCACTTGTCATTCACTGATTAACTTTTACTTTTTATACCTATAACAAATTATCCTTAAAAATGTAAACAGATCTTTATATTTTATACTAACCTGGCTACATCTGGATATTACATTAACAATTTTCTTAAATATTTAATATCCATTTTAAAAAGATCATAGTTATTCTCAAAAAGTCGATTTCAAAAGCAAGAAAAAAGTATTTCTGACATCAATCAACAACCATATTGACTTTAATTTGACAGTGACATTTCGTTAGACACACATTTCAGATCACAATAATGTGAAATTTGCGACCGTTGTCTGGGACCAATTAAAAAATTACTTCTATGGCATTTATTCGTTTCTTAACCGCTCATTGGCCGTTCGCCGACTAAGTCCGATAAAGATAATTATTTCATAAATTTTGAACACGACTATATTTCGAAACTCGCTCTTAGTAACAAATCTAGTTACTTTTCCCTGTGTAAATGCGTCTTTTCAATTCGCTCCTCCTAGTTTAAAAACAGCAGGATAACTGTCACAACATTTCAAAAATGGTAATTTTAGGGGTTGGAATCAAAATTGACCAGATTTTATTTAATGGCTTCAAATAATAACTCAGGTTCTACCAAGGAACATGGCTATTATTAAAATTTTCTCTACAGTGTCAAAAAATGATCCGGCCAAATCGAAACTAAGTTTTTTGTAATATGACAATCTTCTGTATCAGGGGCGATATATTTTAAAAATATGCTAAACAAAAGACAAAGATATAAGAAAAAGTAACAAGAACCGAACAAAAGATATAAGTAAAACAGTAATCGAACAAAAGATATAAATAAAAACAAGAATGGAACAAAAGATATAAGTAAAAACATATAAGAATCGACAAGAATGTATACGAAATAAAATATGACGTTTACAACCCTTTGTATATCTTAAGAGCAAAAAACAGTCGCAAATTATAAAAATCCAGTGTTGTCACCAAACTTGATTATCTAATACGTAGCCGGTGCATAGAAAATAACCACTAGTCATTTAAACGAGATTTACAAATCTGGATTAAATTTTAAAACGGTGCATATGGGCGTAAATATTGGTTTGTAAACACATTTTTGCAAAATCTATTCTAATTAATGAGCATTTACGAGGCAATATGGCCGCTCGCAATCTATATAACTATATATGTATCATTGGCCCTGTCAATGACAACAGTCTCACAGTGTTGCCATATCTATATGTCAGTTCCCACGAGTCATCAGTTTGACAGGTCGTTGAAATGCTTAATAAAAGGAAAATTAGTGGCCCAAGCACTGATCCCTGGGGGACTTCTCCTCTCTAAATCCATTCCTTAAGAGTTTTCCTAAGTTCTGCTCAATCCTCAATAAATAATTAGTTAATACGCTATAGTTTCAGCCAACTCCGGCTTGAAATGTCTAGAATTGTATATTATTATTTCTCCTTCTGACTTAGGTGGATCCGAATATTGAGCAGTTGTAAATACTTGTAAAGCATAATTGCTACAACTACTTCCTCTCTTTTCATCAAAACTTTCCTAAATACAGTTTTTCTCTTACATTCGCCTGGGCAAACTCTCCCCAGCAATGTTCAATAAATAATTTCTCAAAATCTTCAAAGCAATTCACTTCAATTTCTTTACTTGCAAACCATACTGATGCTTGATTGTCCAGAGTTTCTCTAATGCATTCCTTTATATCATCTATTAATCTTATGTTTTTTAATGTATGTCTTAGGATTTTCAAAAATACTTTCGGGTGTATCTTTCTTATGTTCCCTTCAAATTTATATTTCATTTTTACCCCTCCAAATACATTTATTATTTTCTATTTCTATCAGCAATACCTTTCGTTCTTGTTCTTCTTTTACTCCTTTTATTTTTGCCTCAAGATCCTGTAACTTTTTCTTCCATATTTCTTCACATTTTGTTTACATATTGTAATTTCACTTTAACGTTATTAACACTTTGTTCAATAGCACTTATTTTTTTTTAAATTCTTGATCACTCTTTTTTTAAGTAGATTTCTTTTCTATTTCTTCTAAATTTGATATCCTTTTTCCCTGATCCTCTGCCTCCGATATTATCTTTTCCATATCTGCAGATATTTTCTTTTTTATATTTCTTATTTTATTCATTTTCTACTCATCAATTCTACCTATCATTTATATTATTACATTTTTCTTTGTTTTTAAATCTTACATCTGTTTTCACTTTTAATTCTTCAAATTTCTTCATTAGTTCTTCTCTATCTTGTTTCCTATGTTCCTCCATCTTGCTTATTAATCTCTCTTGTATCTTATCAATCATTTCTTTTTTATCCTCCTTTCTGTTTTCTTCAATATTATCGAATCTATTATTGATTTCCATAGACATTGTTTCATTGTTTTCTTTATTTCCATCATCAACGCAAACATATACCTTAAAACTCCTTGATCTTCCTCTTTTACTGTATCTTTCTTTTGTTGCTGTTCTGATTCTCCTTTTTTCTTTTATCCCTGTATTTTCTAAATCTCCTTGTCCTACTTGTTGTAAATTCTCTTCTTCATCTCTTCCATTGTCTTCCATTATTCCAACCTTCTTTTCTCCTCGCAAGTCCATATTATCACTTTTTACACTTTCACATAATTTTACTACCACTTTTATATAACACTTCTATCAAACTTTTACTTGTCTATATAAATTTTCAAATTTTCTATCTAAAATGATTGATTTTATTTAAATAACATTCCAATTTCCGTAAAATTCAAATTTTGACACTACTAATTATAAAAATTTCGTCATCTGGCTATTTTCCAAATCAACATATATTGTAAATATTCATGTATTTAATAAAATTTCAAAAATACATATTGGTATTTGTTAATAGTATTGACTAAATGCATTTTTAGTTTTTGAGTCTTATTTAATTTTTTCTTTTAGAGAGTTTTTATTTTGTCTTCTACATTTCCCGAAAATATTGATTGCTGGTATACAGGGAGAATGTGTTGGAGTAGGTGTGACGATGCTCCCATTGTTTGATTGCGTCATAGCCAGTGATACTGCCACATTCAGAACACCTTATGCGAGCCTGGGCTGTCTAGGAGAAGCAGTTTGTTTGTTATCGTACCCCAATTTTAGCAACAATGGACTGGTAAGTTATGTCAGTTTTATCTTTAATATCTTTTCAAATTCAAACGTATATAATGTTTTTTTTTACGTTTGTTTAATGTCTAACAAATGTCTCAATATAATACATTAGCGTTATTCCCTTAAAAAGTATTAATACATTAGTATATCAGAATATAAAATGTTAAAGCATGTTTTGGTAAACGATTTCTGAGATATTTTACTCAAAATATCACTATTTTCTTTAATTTGTATTCCAATTTATTTTAGGCTGCCGAATTATTATATGCAAACCAGACACTCAAAGCAGATGAAGCTTGTAGACGTGGCCTGATCTCGAAATTATGTTGGCCAGAAAAATACAAGGAGACCTTAAAGAACTGTTTGTCTTCAATTGCAAAAGGTTCACGACAGGTAAGTCATTATAGACAAAATTATTCTAAAAATTTCAAATCAATAATCAATTATAAGAAAATTTTCTTCTTTCCTAATGGACCATGATAGTGTCATGTCCATGTTTTCGACACCTTCATCTGTTATCTTCACAACTGGTTCCGCAGATGCACGAGATTGTTTTTAACGATTATTTTAACTGAGGCTTCGGTATAGCAATGCATGAGTATTTTTGAATTATTTATAAAAACTTCTTTCTAGTCCCACTTGGTTGCAATTATTTTGTTTCCAAGCTACATTTGAAGCTGAAAATATGCTTTATAGCAGGGGTCAGCAGCCTTTTTAGGATACTGAACCAGTAAAAAAAAACATTATTCATTGGTATTATTAAAATTTTATAATTTTCTTCAGTTGGGCATTAAATCAACTAAGGATCTGCACTTTTCAGAGAAAAATCCATTCCAAATCTACTGTTTTGGCTTTCGGTTCTGGTAATGTTCATTGTGGCTTATTATTTGATGTCTGTTTCGTTTTATGCCTTACTGTTTTAATGACATTATGGTAAGGAAAGGCCAAAAAAATAACAGTTAAGAAGTCTTTACAAGCCCTAGGCACACTTCATGAACAGCTTTAAATATTAAAATTAATGTCAGGAAGTATATTTTTCCCGAAAGCTTCGTTTAAAATCAACCGCGCATATACGGCAGATTTCTATGAGTTAACGCCAACCTTAAAATAAATGCCCTAAATTTGAATATATTCCATATATAACTGGCTATTATTTTGGCATTTTCAGTTGTTGTCCAGGGCAGAAACTGTATTATATAGGGTGTTTCCGAACTTGGCGTCCAAATTTGTAGGGGTGGTAGTTCGCATAATTTGAGACCGATTCGCAGATTTCATTTTTCCAAAATATTTAAAATTAAAATAATTAAAAATTATAAACAGGTACGGTCCTGGACAGCGATAGGATCGCCTCGACTCGCGCGCGCTACACTTAGAATCGACAAAATTGCAAATCGTATCTGTTTTTGAGGACTACCAAACCAATTTCTTGTAGTTTTAGATAATTAACGGATTGATCGACTTATCTGTAAGGATGATCGATGCGAATTATTCGAGCTGTTGTCCGTAATGATTATTACACCCTGTAGTATGGATGCCTCATATTGATCAGTACAAAAAACTACCAAGATAAAACAATTTCTATATAACCACTTGCGGTATGTGAGTGATTCATTGCATTATTTGATTTATTAGATTGCGATGGGATATGGATAAGGGTGGGACGTAATAATTATCACGGACAACAGCTCGAATAATTCGGATGGACCATCCTTACAGGTAAGTCGATCCAATCCGTTAATTATTCTTCTCTGTTGTCCTACATGATTTTTACACCCTGTAGGATGTAATAAGAGAAAAAGTACGCAATCTAGTACTTTAAATTTTTCACTTTAATATGACAGATACCCATTATAACTGAACAATGTGATATTTCTTGAAAATAAAAAAGGAAAAAACTGCAATAATAATAAATAACTAATTAATAGTAACAATTTATAACTAGATAGACTTTTTAGAGACCAATGTGGTCGCAAATTAATTTTTGGTTGTTTGACAGCTTGTAAAATTTTATGAAAACATTCCAGCTCACAGTGGCTTGAATACCGGCTATATTTACACCTCAACAGAAGAGGCACGTGGTGTATGCCTATTCCACGTTAAAAATAGTTTATCTTTTGTGGTCTGAGTTTATTGGTTGTTTCCAAGTAGTATTTTAAGGTTTTTACCACACATAGACTAGAATGTTCTTTAAATTCTGGGAAATTTTAGTAAATATGTATTAATTTTTATCATATACGTATTTCTATGTCTTCATTACCCTTTTTATCAATATTTTCTAACAAAATCTTTGATATAGTCTGCATTCTATGGGCATAAATTAATGCCATTAAAGTAACTAGTTTGTAACTTAAAATTTATAGTGTCACTATACACAGTGCATAGGGAAACTTCACTCTGCATACTTTTCTTCTCACTACTCCTCACTCCGCCCCAAGCTACTCTTAAGTTAAAATTTTAAATAACACCCTGTGTATATTATAAAGGATTATGAAAGAGCATACTTTTTTCGGTAAATCTCTACTAAACATGTTACAACTTACATTAGTTACATTAGCTACTTTTAGAAATATTTTAAATTAAAATTTTGATAGAACATTTTTATTCACTACGAATTCTAAAGCTATAAATGAATAAAAAGTATGTAAAATTACGTCTCCTCATGTACTGTTCCTAAAAATTCAAGATTTCAACTTAAGGTTTAAATGGATCTTCGGAAAAATTAACTACAAATTCAAACATTTTCAAAAAATTCATGGGTATACATGAGATATTGGCTAGTATCTTCCCAAATTTTAATCAGAATCATTCGAGTGGTTTTTGAGAAAAACGAGAAAAACTGTTTTTTCCACATATAAAACTAAGAAACTGCTCGAGCAATTTTAACTATTTTGTAAAATGATTTATTTTGCTAAAATGAGAATGTGCTATTTTTTTGAATTTACAGTTTTGGCACAAAAGAAAAAAAATATTTTAATATACACATAAATCATTTATTCATACGTATTTTTTTTATAAAACTTGTTGAATATAATTAGAATAATAAACTTATAAGCCTTTACCAAAAAATTGTGTTGCTGAATTGAGCGTATTTAAAAATAAATAAATAAAACCATAATATGATTTAATATTCCCACGTTAGATTTGAAGCTCTGGAAGGTGCTGCCTCTCCAATAATAATCAGAACGTTTAAAAACATTTTACCAAATTAAACACAGGTAGCAGGATTGTTAGTGAATTCTTTGCACAACGTTGCCGGTTTGCCGTTATAATTTATAATTTCAGGTTTTTGACAATGTATTCCTTAATCTTTTTTAGGGTTTGAAGATTGTACTTCTGTTGCAGTCTCCTACATTTTTTTAAATTAACTTTTTTCTTGCTTCTTTTATTTACCAACCGTTTGAGAGTATTCGATGGTAAGCTAAACTCGCAGCATTGCATCTTATATTAAAACTATTTATACGACCGAAAAAAGTTTGTTTGTTAAATTTTGCGACTTGATGCATAAATTGCTCGCATCTATTACTGGTCATGTCTTTAACAAGGCTGGAAGAATATGCAGCAAACTTTTCTAATATACGAAATATTTGTAATCGCGTCTCAGTAGGGGCTTATTTTAAACCATTTTGTATGCTTACTTGTCCATGCTTAAGACAGTAATCTATTTTAGTTCGTGATTTGCAAATACATGTTCCACCACATTTTGGATATCAGTTTTCAAATCTTCTAAAGATGTGTTACGGTTCAAAATCCATATGAATGTACTGGGATGCTTTTACCACAAAAATAATATATATAGTATTGGCATTTAACTTTTAATTTACTCTAATTTATTATTTAAGTATAATAGGACTAAAATCTATTAAAAGCTCACTCCGTATACACCGTTTTGGCTAGAAGATTATTAGGAGATCCATTTCTCATGTTCTGTGAGTTAACTAGAATGAAAAGATACCTTTTATATTGTCAAATTGGAAATTGTAGAAGTTTAACCTTTTATCAAGTGTTTCTTTCTTGTTTTGAATATCCGTTCTGGTCCTCTATAGATATATTTTCCATTGTTTTTCTTAAATTAGTTTGTAGTTGAGTTCTAGGAACCTAAAAGGGACAAAGAAACGTTTTGAATTCTATAAATGGTTTCAGGGTTCATTTTCTTTGTTTATTTACATTAATTATGACATTATGTCATTCAAATTTATTCAGGTGATTGTCTAAATCATTACAAATAATTAAAACCCCAAATAATCTAGGTAATTTTGGAATTAAGTAGGTGATTGTGAGAAATTGGCTAATAATATTTTAAATTACCTGTCATATTTTATTTTCACTTCCTGTAGAAGTCATTAATTTTGTCGGTGCATATCCTTTCCACCATTTTTCATTCTTCTGGTATCATACCTTCATGGAACATGTGTTTTTGAAGATCTTCTTATAAGGACATAAGATACTAGAAGCGAAAAGACATTGAAAATTTAATAAGTATTGCTATTTGTTAGTATACTTAATCTCATTAGAGGATTTTATTTTCAATTTAGCAAAAAGAACTTCTTAAAAAGGCCACCTTTCACCTCAGGTAACGTAATTTCTCATTTATCACTTATTTGTCCTTGCTTAATATAGGATTGTATATTTAAAGTAGTATTTTGTATTTTAGGCCTTCTCTTCTATTCTACTCTATTCCATTCTATACTATTCTGTTTCCTTTTCTGGCTATCGTAGTTACAGATAGTTACTTTTCATTGGAGTTACTACAAATGAAGGACATTTTAATTATAGATTAAATAAGTGGACCTACTCGTACCTTTGGATCCAATCTTGTCAAGTCACCCTTCCAAAGAGGTCTTCGAATTCAACCCTCGCCTATGTAAGAGTGACAATCTCCAAGGTAGGAATTTTCTGATTATACCAACTCAAGTCCATCAGTTAGAAGGTGTTATCACGCGAAATATCTCCACCCTCAGTGTTTGGGGAATATTCTGAAAATTGTACATATAATTAACCAATTTTAACCTTTTAGTTTGTAAATATTAAAGTCATTTATTTTGTGAGCCACCAAGATAGATATCTATTTTAACCGGTACATAAGCTGTATATATATTAAATTCCAAGGACTTACCTATTACAACCAAAATATAGCTAAAGTTTGAATAAAACATCAAAATTCTCCTCTCATAGCTAATATACACGTTTTATTTATATATCATAACCTTTTAAAAATCATTCAGAATTCTTCTTCTTCATTTGCGGTGTACATAAAATTTATCCAGGTAATAATCGATTATATCTCGGTACAATCGGTCATTCAGCCAATTTCGAGGACAAAAGGGAAAAATTCACCTACGACCCACTCTGACTGAGCAGAGATAATTAATAATTCCACATCAATTTTGTTTTGC